TTGCCTCGAGCTGTGTTTCCTTATGGAAAAAAGGTGTACACGCGTTTCTTGTCTCCCCTATGCATCACACACGTGTTTGCCTTTCTAGCATCTGTCCACAGTCCCCTGTGTCTCGTGATCTCCCGTTCGTCCCTTTTAATGTATCCTCTCCCCCGTCTATATACCTTTCTCGTTTCTCCACTTCGCGTTTTTCTCAGGTGTACACTCTCGGGAAGAATTTTAATCATCTCGACGACGATACGATTGGCGGAATTTCAAATTAGTCGACTGTTATGTACGTTGAAAAAAAAAAAGAAGAGGGAAATGGTGAAGGCTATTTCAAAGGCTTCTCGATAAAAGGAACGAGGATAATAAAATGTCAGGTATTGTTAGCCGTTGTCGAATGGATATTCACAGTGACGTTATCGTATATTGAAACTTTCTGTGCAATACTCGAAGAAAATTTCCAGGCAACTGGATCGAGTCGAACATTCATCTTTATTCCACCTAACTCCAGTTACTCCGTACCAAAAGATCGTCGAGAAAGTATTTCATGTACAGTAGACCAGGCACGTGCAACCTTTCTTGGTTCTGGAGCCAAATTATCATTCTCTCTCCGAGTCAACGGCCAAACTAAATGGGTTTTCGCGTGTGTTTTTATGTATCAATATATTAATATCTCCGAATGTTGTATGTGATTATGTGTTTGATACAACTTTGGCTAAATATTAAATAAAAAGGGCTAGTATATTGAGTAAAATTATAAAATGAAGCACGATACTAATCAGCACATAGAGGGTCGGATTTAAAGACTTCGCGGGGACGGATCGCGGGTCAAACTAAAAGACCAATATGTTACGCGTTGTGTGAATTCGTGCTGTACGGCAACTTTTCTCGTGTAGGAGGTGGTCTAATGAACTTTACTCGGATCAGGATGTCGTGTAAAGTAGTTTATTTCGGACTCTTCGGTGTCCGTCTATTACCGAAGCTAAGAACCGACTCCCGTCGAATGGCAAAGATATCGCTGGTGTATAGATAAACTGTTCCAAAAAGCCTACACTCGTAAAACGCGAATAATCTGAAGTAACATGTTTGGATAGATTCCTGCCATACCGACTTCAATTTTCTGTTTTATCAAATAGGACAGTTCTGAGCAACATTTTTTTTAAATAAGTGATATATTTGGTCTACCGGAAAGTTCTGTCCGATAATGTCATCTCAAGATCGAAAGATGAGTCGTTCTACAGAAATTGAATCCACAAATTACCGTCACTCTGGGAAGAGATCATTGGTAACGATGGAAATTATGTTGTTCAGTAAATATTAATAAATCTATTGAAAATGTATTATCTTCTTTTAATTCAAAAACCGACAGAACTTTCCGGTAGATCTAATATACACGCATTGTGAGAGGAATCGCGATATCTTTGCCGCGTTACACGGGAGTCTACCGTACTTTCGAAAACCAGCTATTTTAACCGAGTTTCTCAACCTAACTTCTTACCAACATCCTCCTCATTTACGCCGAGTCAATTATACACATAACGGAAGGTAGAATTTTTATTGATTCCACGATCGAATTCGTTGCCCTCCGGGCGATTTCTCAGCGATCGGGCAACCACGAGCCTTTGGCTTCGTCGACGATCGGTCGATGAGTAACCACGGGATACCAAGGCCGTACCTTCTAGCTCGATAAACTTCACCGACATCGTGCAGTGCGATTGTTTCTGCGTGTGTATGTGTGCACGCCCGCATTACGGCCGCGTTTTCATTCGGCGAATGCATCGCGATTCGTACCGCAAAACCTGAGATTGCGCGTCGAATTAAAATTCTGCCGTTTTTCCGCCAACCTCACCTCACCTCCACACTGTTTACTTCTCCATTCGTTTCGGTTTCGAAACAAGTGCACATAGAGCGATGCTATTATACCGAGAACGATCGATCATTCTATAGCCCCCTCGATTTCATGATTTATGGTTGCGGAGGACGATCGAAACACGCCGCGTTCGGTTATATCTAATCGTTATCGGTACACCGTAGCGAGATCTGTCGTTCGAGGAACGATCGATTAATTGGATCACGCTGTACGATTATGAAATTAACGTCGATCTTGATCGCCGTCAGGCTGAGATGCTGTTTAAAATTGAACGCTTGACGCGTTGCTGGTTTATCGGGTGGATCTACCATTTTGCGCTGCATCGCAGAAATTTTCCATTGTAATTCTATGTTATTAACATTTTACAAATTTTTCTTGGAAATTGTACGCGTTTATTTAAGTACACTTTTGAATATTTTCAGTATTTAACAATAAATCGCAGTTTACTGTAAGATCTTTAACCCTTTTTCGCGACTGAATTATTTCGTTCAAGAATTTCTTATTTATTTAATAATCATCGCGTCTGTAATTGATGCTAAATTGAGATCAATTTTTGTTCGAGTTCTCATTTTTGTTCGGGTCATACGCGTTTCACTGGTCATAAAAGGGTTAATCCACAGAAAATTTATACTTCGTAGTCACTAAGAAAGTTCCACATTCGAGTACTCAACTGGGACATATGCATCGCGCTAGTCACGAAAGGGTTAAACGACAGAAAATTCAGAGCAAATTCATATTTCGTAGTCACCAAGAAACGTCCACGTTCGAGTACTCAAGTGGAACATGCGAATTCCACTAATCACGAAAGGGTTAATCCATAGAAAATTCACATTTCGTAATCACTAAGAAACTTCCAGGTCCGGGTACTCAAGTGGAACATACGAATTCCACTAATCACGAAAGGGTTAATCCGCAGAAAATTCAGAGTAACTTCACATTTCGTAATTATTAAGAAAGTTCCATATTTAAGTATTTAAATGGAACATATGTGTCCCACCAATCACGAAAGTGTTAACAAACAAAACATCCAGAATAAATTCATATTTCGTAATTGTTAGGAAAGTTTTGTACTCCGGTTTCTTCTTTACCCGGAGCACAACCTTTTCAGCGTTCACGATGACGAAAGTCGCTCTGGAACTTTAGCCAGCGGTTACGAAACCGCCAAACATTGTCCTTTCACCGGATCCTCGTAGGTCTCGAGCACCGACCGCGTCATCGGTGAACCTGAGAGCGAAGTAGGCGAGCGCGAGTGACTCACCGCGGAGTCTTTTTAAAATTCGTCGAACGCCGTTGCTGGACGCTGTGCTGCCGGTGAAAAACGAGCCGAGAATTTCGAGAAAGGAGACAAACAGAATCCTGTTTTTTGATATTCTAGTCAGGGCCGTTTGCGGTAGCCTTCATAGGTCGATCGCGATGTTTCGAGGTCGAAAGTAACCAACCGATTCGCGCGGTGATTTTACAAACACCGTTGAGATTGACCGCTGTTGCAGTTTTACCAGTCTCTCCTTTTTTTCTCCCGTTTTTTTGTACTATTCAACAATGTTCTTGCTTGCTGAGTCGTATTTTCTCCGCTATTACACCGATTAGTCAGCATGAATAATTGTCCACTTTCGTCGATTCCGAGAAACTTTCATTTTCACTGTACCGTTAACGTGTTCGCTGCCGTCGACGCAGCATCTGCGGTTCGTAACTTATTGCTCAGCGTGCTATCAATTTTCTGGTGGCAGATTCAAAGCTACATTATCTCTCATAAGTTTTAATCACGCAATGCAAAAGTGCAAAAATTCGTATCATTCGAGTCGACGAAATTCCAATTCCGTCTATCAAATTCACAGATTTATGTTGACTTCAACGCAGTGAAGTTAATCACTCACGCCTGACTCACTCTTTTCCTACAGTTACTTTCAGTTTTACCGCATTCTGACGGATGCGATTCAACTTTTGAGCGGTGATGAAAGTAAAAATCCATCGGCGCCAAGTCTGAGGATCGTGGTACCCAAGTTATATTATCATTAACGCATTCAGCCGCGCCTGACATGGGTACGGGATGCTAAAACAGCTATAACTTTCGAACTAATGAATATTTTTCAAAGAAACTTCGACAGTGGTAAATTACCTTTCTGTGTACAATTGTTTTAACTCGTGGTGAAACGTCTGTTATGGAATTTCCGAAGAGAAATCGAACCATTCATAGCGTTTTAGAAATTCATTTTAAGACAGACATGTGAAAACCTCGATGACATATTTCCCCGTCATCCGGACTCAAGTCAAAAAATGACCGATCCAGTAGGAATATTGCCATAAACTCATATTCATATTTCCACATTAACTCTTCAACTCTTTGAAGTACAGAATTTCCCAGTAGGAATATTGCCATAAACTCATATTCATATTTCCACATTAACTCTTCAACTCTTTGAAGCACAGAATTTCAAGACAAAAACAGACTCTAGTTGCACCGGAATTTTATTTAAAAAAAATGTAACAAAGTAGGTATGAATTACGACATAAAACAACTAAAACTTAAAAAAAAAATGTTGAGATAATTAATTATTAGGTGGGACATAAATAATCTTACCGTGAAATTTGTGAAAACAGGTTAAATTAGATTAGTTTTGTTTTCTTAATGTTTCAACGTGGGATGAAAAACATCCCACTGTGCATATGTAAGTATTGAAAAGGTGGGACACTTTTTACCCCACTATGCCCCAAAGAGTTAACCTATAACAACGTGTCAGACTCGTGGCAAAGATTAATCCTAATTTTCGGTTTAATTTGTAAGAACCAGGATTACCGAATGTAATTTGTTACCTGATACAGTACTAAAACAGTAAATGGCTGACGCTTAGATGCATAATCAAAAAGAAATTATAGGTTAAAGGGTTAATTACTTTACATTTTCCACTTACTTTTTCACGTAGATTCACCCTTTTTTTACCAGTTTACCGACATTCTCTAGTTCAACCTTATGAAACCCATTTGTCGTATCATTCACAAATACAGACAAAGGTATCCCCTACTATCCCAGTGTTTGCACACGTGCCTCCGCGCGGAATCTTTCGACACCGGTACACGACACCGCTCTAATTGGCTTCCATCGATCCCGTATAACAGTCTTAACGTTCCTGTCCGTTTGTTGTCGCAGAGTCTGGAACAAGAGAGGCACCTGCTCCGACGAAGGCTCGACGAAGTCAAGGGCGAGAACGAGGCGAGAACTTTGGAGCTACAGGCGGACGTACAGACGCTGAGGAGTCAGTTGGAGGAGCAGAATGAACGTGCTAGACGTGCTGAACGCGATCAGGCGACTTTGGTCGCGGAGCTCACCGCTCAGAACACGAGGCTGGCCGATCAGCTGAGAGAAGCCGCGAAGCAGGAAGAGCAATTGCTCATCGAGGTCAAGGTGCTCAGGGAAAAGTGCGCCCTCAGAAATACCACGCTCCAGGATCACGTCAGTAGCCTGGAGGTTCTCAGGGACGAGGTAAATTAATAGTTTCCTTCTCTATATAGGGTGTATGGAACCACTTCGAAAGCGGATCCACGCTCGCGTAACTTTTTTTTTTTCATCATCATCGTACGATCCTCGGATTCATTATGCAACCGTGTAACCGTCTTCGTAACGTTGCGAGGAATTCGTGTCTGATTGATCATCTCGTGCGTAGACCTCGTTTGTTTTTGCTCGCTACGATACATTCGATGATATTGAGTCATTTTGAAAGTTTCTGAGGTTTCAAGCCGTTTATTTTTTTTTGAAAAAATTGAATTTCATTGGAATTGGACATTTTTCAATTGAAAATAATTTTTGTAATGTTCGATACACTTTTGATTAATTCCATGTACGAACATTGTGGAAATTATTTTAGCCCTTTAGCTACGGCGGAGTACTGTGATTGTTGTTTCGATGCATTTAGCTATATTTGGGAATATTATTATTTTTAATTTTTAGCGTTTGTGAGAAGAGAAATACGAATCGAAACATGAAGACTTTTCTACGTTACACGAATAATGTACGCTGCTTTCAACTCCAGAAAACAAGTGAGCCACTATAGTGCCTTTTCGTTAAAAAATGTTACTCAGAGGAAAGCCACTGTAGTGGCATTTCGTCCCAAAAAATGATTTAACACGTTCAGGACGGCACAGCGAAATTCACAAAACGCTCACTTTTTTTATATCACTTTTGCCTTGGTAAGAGTTGTGCTTATTGGTTCAGAGCCAATTTACCAACTTATGCGTCTATGTTATTATCTACTATGTTGTTTTAGATTAGCATTAGTTAATGGCACAAATAATTACAGAGAAAAATTTTCAAAAATAATTCACGAAACTCTCACTACTGCAAGCGTTTCTTATTATCAAAGTGTGTATTATCAGTAATACCCAATTTTTCAATATGCGATCTAAACCGTTGGATCACACCATCTACTCAATCCTTTTTGCCTTCATTTTCAATGACCCGTCTGGATCGCACTGTCCTGAACGTGTTAACGAGAGACCGTCTAATAAAATTATAAATCACGGTAAAAAAATTTATGTTCCACACGTATTTTTGTAATAGTTACGTCGTGTGTGATCATTTTTAAAACACTAGCATAGTTACAACAATAATAGCTCCCTTTCTAGCATTCTTCCTAAGAGTCCCTCTTCAGTTAAACACTTAGATATTTCACGCTCTGCCCGAGTCTCTACACTGTCGAAGGTTTAAATAAAAATGTTCTATTTCGATAAAATCGTATCTAAAAACCGCGTGAACTTTCGCGACGACCTAATACAATCTCGATCGAATTATTCTGGGAATACGCACAGGTCGTTTACCGTTGCGTCCACGACTGATGGATATTGTTCAGCGTTAGGAAGCGTTGAATATGTATGACCCATACGCCAAGCGATATCAATGGGCCATGTATACGAGCGTCTGATTCGAGAAGGAAACACAACGGCCGTGAGAAATTCGCACCGTGTTCTATAGAAAAAGAAAGAAAGGAACAAAAGTACTAGTAGAAGGATGATGATGACGACGATGAAGTCGTGACCCTCGACGACCGACTTCATTTGCCTGTCCTTCGATCCTACGCCCTTTCTTCTCTCCTTACGCGTGTCGAACTCGAATTTCAGGAAATGCCCTTCATGCGCGAATTGACGTTGGTAATATACTCGTTACAGCGGGTATGTGTTACGTCGGCGTTATTGATTGTGTCATGCTATCGGTTATCGAGAACGAGATTCACTTGTTCATTGTGTCAGAAGTAAGGCGGGAGGGGAAGGGAGGAGTGTGACCGTGGAATAAATACAACGACCTTGCGAAATTGAAAATGTTTGTTTGTCTTTAACGATGCAACGAAATGAAAAGGTGTTTCGTTACACGTATGTGTTACAAGGACGGGGAGAAAGAGAGGAGAAATACGTACCGTCTAATGCTAATGAAATCGAAACAATCGTACGTTGCATTTGTAATCTTGAACTTTTTAATTAGGCAGACATTGTGTTCTCAACACCTCAGTTTTTATTTATGGGATAGGTCGCTGCCGCCCCGCACCTTGCTTTTCTTCGATTTATCGTGAAAACCAAAATGACGTTTCCTTGGGAGATAATGAGTAAAGTGAGGTATTTCTGAATTTTTATTTATCAACGCTTGTAAAATTGTTCGGTACTAGTTTTATTTAGGAACAGTAAATATTAGGCATAAGAATGATCATTTTAATGGGGTGTCGAGGACATAAAACAGTTGCGCCATTTAGTTCCACGTGTCTGATTAAGAGTAAAAAGGAATATTTATTAGCTGTTGAACAAACACTTTGCACTGCTACTTGGTAATTTTCCATTCCGTGAAATTCATTTGTCGTAAGCGTTTCAGAGAATTTCGATGACTCTGTTGAAAAGTTAGGCGTAGATCATGGTCGACCATCGCCAGCGGTCAATGCATTAGCTACTCGAGTGCTTCTGACGAATTCCAACTCGTCAGGCATTTCTTATGTTAATCTATTCACAGCGATTCAGCCAATAGACGAGCCATTAACACACAAGGAAAACAATTAAATCGAGTCCGTATAAAAAACTTTCTCTCGATCAGCAAACCGTTAAAACCAATTCCGACACTGTGATTATACGTTTCGCGTTACGAAACAGCCGGAAACACGCGGTTACCTGAAGTCGTCTCACGTGTAAATAAGTACGTACGCAGCGTCAGCAAAGTACCTCGCCTCAGTCGGCGTACGGACACGCTAGAATCGTGGACAGATTTGTAAGCTGATTGCCGGGCGTACCGGGGTAACACCGGTGAAATTGAATAAAACTTAAGCCAGTTAAGCTCGAGGTACGGTGTTCCAGGTGCAGCTGGTGTCCGCACAAAGAACAGAATTAGAGAGGAGGTCCTTGGAGCTGCGAGAGGAGAGGACGAGGGCGATCGCGGCCCTCGAAGAAGCGGAGGAGAGAGCCGCGGCCTTGGAGCGGCTCGGTCACGAGGCGGAACGTCGTGCGAAGCTGGCTGAACAGGAGAGGTAAACTTCTCCTCGATATACATATATACACTCTTTAATATTTCTCTAATAAACCTACCGTATCTCGATTCGCGATAATAAAGTAATAAATAAACCAGTCTCGCGCCACCTATTATAAGCCTCGAACCGCAACGCGTTCTTCTTGATTCTAACGTCCCACGTGAAGCTGAAACTCCGGCTACACGTCGATTTCAAATACCTACGCATTTTCCGCAGTGTCTCACCGAGCAGAGAGACACTAGGAAATGGATTAACGTTCTCCAATGCGATCGATTTTTCTCAAACACCGGCAGTCGTGTTTGTTCGAGACTTAACACGCTCGCAAATGCGATAGTTCGAGCCGGTGTGGTGTACGATCGTGGTTGTGATTCGAGACCGTAGAAGCTTGCTCAGTTTGTCAGATCGCGTTGAGTGCGTTCGAACGGTTAAGGAGAACGATTTATCAAGCGATCCGAGTTTAATCGTTGATCGATCGAATCCCGCAGGGACGAGCTGGCGGCGACGTTGGCGAACATCGAGGAGGGAAGGAGGGACAGATCCGGCTCGATACAGAAACCACCTAGGTCCTTACAGGCGGAGATGGAGTGCGAGGAGAGTGGAAGCTCGCTGGGAGAGCCGGAGGATCTGAGAGCCGAGGTGGCGAGGGCAGTGAAGCGGTTGAAGGAACTGTGCGTCCATCTGAGACGAGGGGAGGATGACTCAGGACTGCAGAGCGATTGCGACGAGTCCATGTTGATCGTGAACAACACCGCGGAAACAGAAGAGGTGAACACAAATGGCCAAGAGACTCTCCCTAGCTCGGTAAGGGACGAGCGTAACCCACTCCTTTTGTTCCTCCACTTCCGGTTTCCGGTCGAGTGTAATGTACAAGCGGGGATCCCTCCATTCAGCGCCCACGAAAACTTGGCGAACGTGATTCGCTCGTCGATCTTAACGACTGGCTGCTGATTCGAGATAGGGGATCGAGCATGACTGGTCTGTCTTTTGGACAGCTGCACGCGTGTATAGTTGATGGAAGAGATATTGGCAGATTGTAGAACGATTGTGGCGCTAATTGATACAATATAGAGAATCGAATGTGGCAATTTATGAAAATTTTATTGAGATATATTTCGTGCAATTTTGCTTCAGGTTTAGATGTTTGAATTATAATAGAGCGAAGCATAGAATTGTGGAGATATAGAGAATCAAATGCAGCAATTTACGAAAATAAGATTCAGACATATTTCGTGCAGTTCTGGTTGAGGTCTAGATCTTCAAATTATAATGAAACGAAGCATGTAATTATTACAATACAGAGAATCAATACAGAGCTATATTTCGTGCAATTTCACTTTAAGATCCAGGTGTTCGAATTATAATCGCTTTCATTCCCCCTCGATTGTACGCTCTCTGTATTTTTTCCATCGACTATACGCCACGGTAGTCCAACGTGCTCGTATGTTTGCAAAGCCTGTTTGCCCGCTCGATTTCATCCAGTATGTTCCGCGATAAGATTCGTCGCACTTTACCAAGCGACAGAGATATCTCTGCGATCGATTCGAGTGTATATACCGTTGCAAGTGTCCCTATCGCCATATGCTCGCTCGATGAGTGGTTTCTTCCGTTTTCTTGCAGGCCAATTGTCCCGGTGCGTTGTTAGATCTCGTGGAGGAGGTGTACAACCTAGCCCTCTCTGGCAGAGGAGCACCAGGCGAGCTGGGTTTGGCCGTGGAGCTGCACAGGGTACGCGAAGAGTTGGAGCACACGAAGGACCAGCTGAAGCAGACTCAGGACGAGCTGAAGAGGCGAGGAGAGGCTTTGCTCGACATGACGAGCAAGCTGAGCGTCAGCGAGGCTGAATTACGCGGCGTGAAAGAGGAACGTGACAGAGCTAGGGACGATATGGAGCATACGCAGTTGACGAAAGACGAGGTTATGGCACAGGCGTACAAAGTCAGGGACCAAGCTGTGGCTAGGAAGAACAGAGCGGAAGTGGAGCTGGCCAAAACCAGGATAGACGTTCTCCAAGCTAACAGTCAACTGATGGAGGCCATTCAACAGAAGGTCGAGCTTAGTCAACAACTGGAACAATGGCAAATGGACGTGCAATCTTTGTTAGACGAGCAAGTTCGTAGTAAATTGATGCCTGTCACGAACTCTATAGCGAATCCTAATTCCGACAACTCAGACATCGTGGCTCCGGCGAGGAAAAAGCGGAGTACCGGCTCGTCGAAGAAGATGTTCGGTCTGTTTTGACGAAAATGACTGTTCGCGTGGGATTTGTTGCGCGAAACGAAAGCCAAGAGACACCGGTGCACGGTGAGAGAAGAAGACTGCGCTCGAAAGGAGGTTCTTTCCCGTAATTCGCATTGTAGCGGCAACGTAACAGGGACCATTCGACCGCTCGTCACTCCATCGCGTTTGGAGACAGACTGCTGATCCGAATTCTCGAGTGGCGAACCCGCCATATTGTGGCGCTTCGTGTTGTGCCTTGCTTTCCACGACAATTTCTGTAGAATCGACAAGTCTTGAAAAAAAAAGACCCTTTTATTTTCTTCTACCTTTTACGTACTCGCGTGAACGACAAAGCTCCGTGTTTCGCTAGCAGGATCGCGTCACCGATCCTCAGGACACCTTTATCTTCCTCGACGTAGATTAATCTCGCGTGGTTATTAGGATTTTATTGAAGATTCTTGACAATAGATTTATCTTGATCTTTGTTCTTTTTTAATCTTGAAAGGATAGTATCGCGATTTTGCGTGTGAATAGGAAGCGACGAAAGAAAGAAAGTCTCTTCTTTGCGGACGTTCGAATGTTGCATCGAGGAAAGAAGGAAAGCGCCAGGGTAAAGTGATTTACTTATCGTGTTCACTGTGAAGCGTGAACGTTTCTTTTCCCTTCGCGCGTACGTTCTTTTTTCTTTTTTTTCTTCTTTTCGAGAACGTCTCGTCATTCAGGTAATCGTGGAACGGCTCGTTACCACGGCAAAGAAACGATCTCTAGTGGCGTCATCTCGTAGAACTCTCGGAGCTCGCGGGTTCAAACTTGTCATTACTCTGAGCGATGCGTTTAAGTGAAACTAGGCGACTTCCTCGTTCTCCTTTTTTTCCTTCTCTCTTCTACATCGAAGAACGAGATGCAACAAAACGCGGCTGAAACGTTTGTGATAGACTCGTGTGTATTACATTAGCTTTTACAAGAATCCAATTTCTTTTATCGTTGATTGTGATACGGATAAACTATATATATATATAGATATTTTATCGCTGTTATGATAAATTTAACGATCGAATTTATAAGGCGGCGTTATCGTATTTGAAAAAAATGTCAAAAAAAAAAAAAAATCGATTAGAAGCGAAGAACGAATGAAATTTTAATGTAGAAATTCTCAATTGTATTTTACCAGGTTTAAGTTTTCGTTGTTTATTTTATCAATTTTATATTCGTGTGGATCTTTTAAAAACGCGTACACCGATAACGTCCGTCCGTCCGTCCGTCCATGTGGACCAGAAACTAAAGCGGTACTACGGCTAGAAAGTCATAGAAAAACGAAAAGGAAAAAAAAATGTTACGGCTAGTGGTGAAAGTCGATCGACCCACAGTCTGTGACCCTTATGCCCTTTTACACAACGACAGTGCAATAACAGGCTAGAGAAATTTTATTTTCACGCGCGTTTGCGCCGGTCAACCGCGACGATGTTCCTCGACATTCTTTCCCTCCATTCCAGTCTGAACGCTTAGCTTTAATTAACGATCGGTGTTAAGTAACAACGAAGCGGTTGCTCGCGGATCACTTAACGCGACCGCGCGGCCACTGTGTGCCCGTGTTTGCGCGCACAGTAGCCTCCTTTGTAAATTAGTAGTCGACTGGCCAATTAGCCATGTCGAGATTGTACGATAGCTGTATGATTCCTCCTGATCTGAACGATTGTGACAACATATTTATTTAATAAAAAGCCTGTTTTACGGATATCCGTCCGTATTCCTGGTGTGTGATAATCACGTCGGATCCATACGAAACGTTTTCGAATATTAAGTTGTCGATAGAAATAAGACGCGGGGGATTTGAATATGTTTCGATCGATAGTTAACTAAATCGTGATGTGAATAACAACGAGATTGAAAAGAAACAAATAGGCATTTATTCACAAGAGGCAGGTGTAGTTACAGTAGTT